ATAGCTGTACTGAATTTCAGTGTACAATAATCTACTCAAAATACATCGTCGGAAACCCATGGCTGATTACGCTTCGTTCCTCTCTCTGAAATCATCATGATGGAGAGAGGAACGAAGCGTAATCAGCCATGGTTTCCCACAATGCTTAAAATAGGATCCAAAAAGTTTTATATGTTGGAATATTTCGGTTACTGAAATAACTGAAGGCTTTAACCATTGATGAATTGCATCATTGGTGCTCAAAAATCGCTTTACATCTTTATACCCCCCGCTTGAAAAGCGGGAGGGAATATAGTAATCGTTAATTCCGTCCGTCCGTCTGTACGTCCGTCCGTCTGTTACGCTTTGGGGTACCCATCTCTTATCCGCAACTCCTCTCATACCACTGAATGAAATTTGATGAAACTTTCACAGAATCTTTATTACATATTGCCATTGTGCACCTCCTATTTTACTTTTTGATCCGACACATATTTTGGGTTTCCCGGCCACAGGAAAACATGGACTTTTTCACCAGTTATAACCATATGGGAGGCGGGGGGTATCATTTAGTGAGCTCATCGCTCACAGTACCTCTAGTTTTTATTACGGTCACTTTAAGTTTTCCACTTCGTGTTTTTTTTTTTTTTGATTAAAATCAAATCAATAAAACCATGCACCTGGCGGCATATAGCTTTCTTAAAAACTGGCATTTCTAAAATTCAAATTTTGAATTTAAAAAAAACAACACCGGAATTCTAAGATTCCCAACTTATATAATTAACTGGTCATGCTCATGAGAATAATTTTCGTGTATTAGTTCATATATAGTGATTCCATCTTTCATTATCGTTCTCAATACTGAGTATTTATCGCGAGTTTTAATTTATTTTTTAAAGAAAAAACTGGGCTTACAAAAAAAGATTTGCAATGGGTTTTTTTATCAGAAAAAAAACGATTCACAAATTCTCCACAACAATACATTTTAACATGTTTTGAAATACACTTTTAAAAAATATTTTCCTTTTAATTTAAAATGTTTATTGTAATAAAAAAAAACCATGATTATACACACACATATATATACAAATATAATCATGTAAATCTTGATGAATTTGTCACTCGCTTTAAATCAATGCAACTGATGATGATAAAGAAAATCAATATTCTGATGTCTTCATTCGCCACTTAGTCCATCGTTTAAAGTGTTGATAAAATAGGGACCGTATAATCTTTAAAAAAAATTCATGTTCATATTATTTCTGTTTTTAAGACTGTTTTGCCGACAAAGAAAACACTTTCCCGGATCCAGCAATTGGAGAGGGGGATCCAACAGTAGGTGAGGCGGGCTCTCCCTCTGATCCCACGCTAAGGGTGCGGATTTTAGCAGGTTGCTGGTGCATTTGTTTATCGATATCATGCTTGATTTCGTGAATATGCCTCCCATTCTTGTACAGGTCGATGCCGTTGACGACATTTTTCTCCGGATGGAAGTGAGGCATATCCACAAAGTCTCGGAGTTCTCTTCTGTCCATTCCCTGCCTAAAAATAAAATTAAAAAAAATAGTTTTATGCAGAATTGCGTACCAAAGAACTTTTAAGGAGGTTCTTTTCTGGTTCTGACTAGATGAAATATTCAATGTATACTCAGTATTTGCCTATGTTTCTTGTATATTTAGATGTAAGAGATTTAAAAGATCACATGTTTTTCTTTCCGCATCACAATAGTAAAACTTTATAGAAATGGTAAACTAATATGGAAATCCAGCAGGGACTATATTTTTGGCGATTTGGCGGCGTATGAAATATCTTCTTTTCTACTTCTAAAAATTACGAAAGAACAATGAAATCATTTATAATTTCTACACAAAAAGAAGATTTGAAGAAATTTTCAAAATCAAGTAAAATAATTTTTAGAGACTAATTTTTTTAAATATATCAAATTAATGGTAACATCCTTTTATGCAAAAAGAAAAAAGTTTAATTTTTTGAAACAGAAGTAGACATCACATGGTTTCCAATAGTATATTTAGGAAAAGGATAATTACCTCGACCTGCCTCAAATCTGAAACGGTCAAATTTAATCTAGCTGCTACCATCATTATGTGATATTCTCTTCTAGAATCTATAAAACTTTCATTAAATTTTTAATACAAGAAATTTGAGAAGAAACCCTCCTTAAAAGTTACAGGAATACTGTTTCATTGAAACTGATGTAGGCTAATGACAGATAAGTTGATGTAGCATGGGATTTAAACAATCTTGTTTAAAACCTTGTTTTAAATTTAGCAAATTTTATTATCCTAATAATGACTTTTTTGCAAATTCAATCTATCCTTAGGTTGTATTTTAGCTTTTTAAACTAAATTTGATTACGGAATATTCTGTCTGCATTTCATTCATTTTTTGAGAATTTGAACTGTTAAACATTGAAGTATGTTTCCTTTTCGTTTCACTCTTCGTGTCAAATAGGTATTGTTTTAAATGAAGACATTTCATCACATTTCAAATGCCTTCATACTTATGAAAAAGAAAAAAAATAATTTTCATAAAAAGTCATCAAACAGAATCTTCCGTTATTAAAGTTCCTTATATTTTCATCCTCTTTAAATTTTTATTTTTTTAAAAAAACTTACTTGTATTAACTACAACCTCTACGCATCCAGTATCCTCTGAAAATGCAGCGAACGATAAATGAATTATTTTTAGAGGTATATATATTTGAATTTTTCGTGACAAATTTGGAGAAGACTTTCATGAAAGCGAGGCACGCGTTAATCAAAACCAATGACTTTGTTTAAAAACAACATCCATAATATAATCAGTCAAGGCTAATCCATACAAATAACTGTCACCGGAGGATTTTAATTGTTCCGAGAACGATATTTCCCCCTTCACAAACGGGGTTGACGACCGATTCCTTCCATTTCTCACAGACAACTCATGAATGTAGTGTACTAACAAAAACAATAAAGGTTCACATAAGGACTCTTGGTTTATTTGGACAAAATGAAAAAGATAATTCAGAGAATTTGTGTAACCCGCTTGTGTACCCAGGAGAAAAAGGAAATATGGAAGAAATTTCTTTAAAAATGTACATATGCAGAAAGAAAAGGTCAACCTCGACCTTCCATCTTTTGATATTAAAGTCAACGGGTTCTTTTATAGGTTAAAGAAATTCAGGTCAATAAGTTCCATTTAAAAAGCTTACAGAAAACGTAAATAACCGTAAGAAAACTATGCAAATTTTTTTTTGATCTTGATATTTTACCTTTTGAACTCAAAATCACAGGAGTCTTTTAAATTGAATAATGACTAAAGATGTAAAATTTTAGTACAAGATTTCGATTAAATAGAACTAGACTCCATGAAAAAACATTTATGTTAGATATGATTTTTTTTTATATTGAAATTTTAATCCAAACAAGCTAATTCAGAGAATTTGAGTCCTCGCTTAAAGAAAAAAATGAAAAAAAAATTGCATAGAGGGGAAAAAATCAATCTTCACTTGACCTTCTGGCCATTAAGTCAAAAAAAGTCTTTTTAAAGTTAAAGAAATGGCTGGGAAAAAACTAGGACGTACTTAACCAGAATCAACTTTTAACAACAAAAATTACACATCATCTACGAATATACGAATTAAGGTAGTCCGATCCTCAGGTTTATAAAATTAGCAGTTAAGTAATCAACAATACTCATAAAAGTATCTCCGAATCTATAAAATCATGTATATTTATCCACAGTATTTCTTTAAAGTTAAAGATTAAAGTTAATCATATTATATAGGGAAAATTGTCAAATCTCCAATATTTTTTAAGAAAAAGCGAATTGGAATATCAGCAATGCATTTTCTAATTGCAAATTGATCAACAAATACATTTTAGTATCCAGGCATTCAGAGAAATTGTCATGATTTTAATACTAGTCTTATTTGGTATTTTTGTCTTCTATTTCCGTCATGTATTCTATAGTACATATTTTAAAAGGTTTTTGCTATCATTGCAAGACACCACAAATCACTTCTTATTTCATATCATGCTAATTAGCTTTGGTATCTAAGGCTGGATTCAAGAAAATCTTATTTCTCTAAAACTGTAATTTTTTTTCTTTCATAAGGTACAAATATCAACTTTTATAAGACCTCTTCTAAGACTTCCAAAAACCTTGAATCTTATAATGATGAATAAAATGAAATTGTTGCATGAAAAAATTAATTTTCAAGCATCATTTTGATGCATTTCAAATTAAATATTAATATTTGGAGTTATCCTTCCTGGTTGAGGATCGGATATCCTTAAATACACAACAATTCATGAAAAAAATAAACAAACATTAACAACTCAAAGCTTGTCGATAGTCCTTTGTGGTAAGGTTTCCTAGCTAGTTTTGATTATAACTTTAGACACCACTAATTTCCTTAATATTTTCTGGTATTTTAATGATCAATATTTTAAAAACACGAGTTCTCAAATGGCTGATGCCAGGGAACTCTTTGTGGAAGATTGGTGTTTCATTGATCCCATTTAGACAGTGAACTTTGACCCCAGGAGGTGTAAGGTCATTGATCACACGAGGTTGTGAGTGTGTCCTGTTGATTTATCATACATCCATGAAGTTGATGTCAGTAAAGAATTGTTATATAGTCCTTCACTTTTAAATGTATTGTAAGGTTAATTAATTGTCTATTTATTGCACAAAAATGAACTTCAAGTCGCATATCATACCGGTAATTAACAATTTCCCTATTGCCTTGATTACCTAGCTAGTTTTGATTATTACTTAGTAACATCTTTTTTCAAATTTTCTGACATTTTAATGATCAATATGTGCCTCAAAAACACGAGTTTTAATAGGAAGGATCTAACTACCATCCTAGTTACCAACCTGGTGTATATTTCTTAGAGTACATGTATTGCTAAATCATTTTAATGGCCAAATAAACAGCAATGTTATGCCTCATGTACCATCCATCCATGAAGTTGATGTCAGTGAAGAATTGTTTGTATTTCTAATGTTTTTCTCTGGCTGCATAAAATCTCGCTGTTTGACCGCTTAGGCTTTGTCTGAAGGCATCAGCCAGGCACTACTGGGCATGCCCCGTTGTTCTGCGCGAACCTTGATAGGTTTTACAATGACTACACCTAGTCTATCACCTGTAAATATTTAATTAGCAGTTACTGCTGTTTCGATGTCAATGAGATCATTTAGCTACACGAGGAACACAAAATTTATCGAGTCCGAAGGGCGAGGTCAATATGTACATGTATTTGCTCAATGGTCGTTAGGGCCGAGTATATAGATCAAAATTTGTAGTCCTCCACAGGCAAGTGGTGGCGTCTCTTTATGAGATAAATTTTCGAGAGGGACGTTAAACAACAATCAATAAATCAACCTTCGTACTTAAATTTTGGAATGTTCATAAAACAAGGGATGGGGTGAAGGTCATGAACCCATGCAGTGATACAAGAAAACTATGTGTATAGTGGGAAACTCTACATCCCTGATATTGTACAAACCTGAAGCAAACAGTTTGAGTGGTTTGATGGCCCCTGTCCACACCCCGGCCAGACTGACATGGGCCTCGATGTACTTGTCTTTCCAGGCCTGGGTCATTATGTTGTAGAAGTAGAGGGAGGTGGGGTTCCCCATGCTGTGCCCCAGGAGGATCACACGGGTGTTGTTGTTTATACTGTATGTCTCCTCAATCAGGGCCTTCATCTTCTGATACAGCTCTTTAAATTCATCTACAAACATTATAACGTTAACATTCAAATTATAATATTTGATAAAGGCTAATCAGAGAACAGATTTCAAAAAAAAAACAAAAAAAAACAAGAGCCTCACTTGGTGCTTTTCTGAAGTCGAAAGGGACCCCTCGAACTGACACTCCTCTTTTGTATCCCCAGGAAACCATGGCTTTCACGATGTGATAAAAATAGGAGGCTGAAAAAGAGTATCTGTCTGGCATCATTAAAGATTCAATACGTCCTAAAACTTGTTTTTTTCTTTTGTTTGATTTCATTTAACTCATCTCGACGACTAGAAACTTTTAAACCCAAATGTAAAGATTGAATATGACAAAGAAAAATGTAAAGAATATGAATTCAACAAAAACAGAAATCCAATCTGTCAAGAGACATCTCCGAAAATATTTTTTTTCAGAAAGTCCATTATTTACGTTTTGGGTTCAAATCTTTTACAAAATGCTTAATGGCCCATAGTACCGACTATAGGTCTAAATCTGCAGCCCACCACCAGCAATTGATGGCGTCTTGATAAACATACAAATTAAGAAATGAATAAATCAATCAATCTGCCATTAAGGGGCTGAAGTGATCATGGATACTTTCGGTGACACATGGCACATAAATTAAAAATTAAGTGAGGACAAATATTTTAAGATATAAGGTTACACGTGTACAGGAACTATGATTGGGTGATCAACAACTATGAAAGTGTTTGTGCCTTAACGTAATTTTTTTTTTATGATTTTCAATTAAAATTTTTTTATACTTGATTTCTATTTCCTTGTTCATGTTTATTTTAATGTTCCAATAAATTGATCCGGAAAATACCCTTACTTAAAAAAAATTGTGAAGGGTCTAACCACTCGACGGTTGATGTTCCCCCAAAGTCGCTGATTCTGATGTCCACTCCTCGTGTGTTACTGGTTGTGCGGGTCGTGCGGTTATAAACCAACCTACAACACGGTTATGGAATATTTAAAAGCAAGAAGTTTATGAAACACTGGTCAATGCCCCCATGTGGCAGTTTTTGGCAAAGGTTAGAGATTCTCCACTGCAAATCAAATTGGTCAAGGTTAAGGTTTTTAAATTTTGGTCAAACTCCAAGGTCAAATCAAAGGTACATAGGAGAAGGCCTTGTCATAAGAAATACAAATGAGAAATATTAAAACAACCTGTTCAAAAGTTATAGCCAAGGTTACAGTTTTTCGAAGGAAGGACAAATGCCAAGGTCATAGGATCCATTTTTGGCATGCAAAAAAGGTCTGGTCACAAGAAATATACCTGTGAAATATGAAAGCCGTGGTTCTAACTATTCAGAAGATGTGTCCAATGTTTAAGTTTTTAAATTAGTAGAAAAGCTCTAAGGTCAATATCAAATATATTTACTTCTGAAAAGGCTTTAACACAATGAATACATGGTGAAGTATGAAAGCCATAGCTTCAGCTGTTCAAAAGTTACGGCCAGCAAGATTAAAGTTTGGTAATTTTTTGCAAGTGGGTCAAACTCCAAGGTCAAGAGGTCAAATATGTTGGTATCCATAGAGAGATCATAAGGAATACACATATGAAATATGAAAGTCATATACAGGTAGCTCCAACCAAACAAGAGTTATAAGCAAGTTTAGTTTTTGCAGATAGACAGCTAGACTGACGGACAGTGCAAAAAAATAAACACCCTGAATCTTCTATTACGAGGGAATTATTACGGCTGCTCGTATTACTACACTGGAATTATATGAACAATTTTTGCTTGTTTGTTGTTTAGCGTCCTAAATTTTTCTATAAAGACGGCCGGGGACATTATCGTTTTAAGGAGATGGCTCACAATGTATAACTACATTAGAATGATACAAACAGGTATTATTTGAATGATTAACAAATTCTCTGTAAAATTCCTTGGACTTTGCGCAGGAGGGCGTTTTGGCATTCACTGCCATATATTTCCATTTCTAAATTTGTCTCTCAAATAACCCTTTGAAGTAAGCATAGATTTCCTCATTGCATGACAACGATGGGTCGACTTAAGCCCCACTTCTATGCCATACGAAACGTTGTGATGGATCCTTGCTACACTCTTTGATAGTGTGCAAGGACTATAAATTTATCCCATGTATATTTAAATCGGTAAATTCTTAATGCTGTGTAAATTTTATATTACATTGAATTATGCAACGTCGAGAATGTCACGCCTTACTAAAAGTCCAAGGATAACAGAGAATTGTACTACTTGCTTGTTTGTTGTTAAACGTCCCTCTCGATTTTTTTTATTTTTAGAGACACCATATAACTTGCCGTTGGACACGTCATCGTTTTTAAATTTGGGGATAAACCCTGAGGCCTCATGATGTGTAAAATGGGTACTTTAAAGATAATGATTTGAGGCATGAGGAAAACACTATTTTTGACCATATAGGTTTTTTTATCATTTTTTTTTTGATTGATCAACTGAAATTGATGCCAATCAAACCCAATAAAATTCTTGACATTCGGACATTAATAGCACATATCTAATCTCTTCCTTTTAATACTATAAGTAAAGTTCTGTATTTTAGAATATTATACAAATGGCTATTTCAGTCATATCGAAAGTTAAAATTCCTACTTCATGTTCTCCACAAAGCAGTCAATTTTCCAGGGTAAAAAATACTTCATGTTTAACCAGAGACTGACGTAGTCTTTAGTTTTATTGACACACGATCCATGTAGACTAGAAGATTTGTCCAGCTTAGCTTCAAACTGTGTACCCCCATCGCCGGGAACTGAAAATAATCAACATAATGAGAAATATTACAAAATATAAAGAAATTTTAAGAAATCATTACAAATTGAAAGTGAAAGTTTTGAGGACTGTACACAGTTTGATTTTTTTTATGGAGAGTCAGAAATTGCCTCTCTGTCCTTTCAGACATCAAGGTCAAGCATTGAATATATGCTAAAAATAGCTTTTTCCACTGTTTGTCATAACTTTTTAACCATAGGAGATAGGGACCACATACTCCACTAATAGAGTCCTTTCAAATGACATCAAGGTCAATTCTTTACCTTGACTGTGATCAGCAAAAATAGATATAACTTTTGACAAGATAGGTTTCATATTTGGTATGCTCCCACCGATTAAGTTCTTTCAAATGACACCATGGTCAATGACCTTGTGACGTTGACTGTGACCTATATGCTAAAAATAGCTTTTTCCACTGTTTGTCATAACTTTTGAACCATAGGAGATAGGGACTTCATATTTGGTATGCATACTCCACCGATAAAGTCCTTTCAAACGACGGCAAGGTCAATGATCTTGTGACCTTGACTGTGACCTATATGCTAAAAATAGCTCTTTACACTTTTTGCCATAACTTTTGAACCATAGGAGATAGGGACTTCATATTTGGTATGCATACTCCACTGATTAAGTTCTTTCGAATGACACCATGATCAATGACCTAGTTACCTTGACTGTGATCAATATGCTAAAAATAGATTTTTTGAACTTTGTTGCCGCCGGGCGCATAGTGTTTCACAAACACATCTTGTTCTTTCAAGCACTGATGTGGACCTGCATTTAGCCCACTTCATAATATTATGTACCCCATTAAAAAAATCAATCGAAATATTGTAGCTTGAAAATAGTAACCACTACACTAGATATTTTATTAAAGAAAAATGAATACTCATGATCTTACCTAAAATGACTGGATTCAGAATTCGACAGCTAACATCACCTGAACAGTAAAACAAAAACGCTATTGTTAACGTTGTCAAAATACATCTTTCCTGTGACATTCTCCTCCGATAATCACAATAAAACAGGAAAATATTATTATGTGAAACAATTTTATTTATCACTTAATTGCTCCAAGTGTGGGTCCCAGGGATTTTATTTCCTTGTCAAGCACAGAACTAGGAAGGATTGTTCGATTCGCTTACCCACCAACAGATTGGGTGTTTGCATCCGGGGTGGAATAAAGATTTCTATTGGAAGGGAGGGGGAGGGGGCCAAAATTTTAAAAAATTCAAATAACAAAAAAAAGATATACAAATGGTCAATATGCGTTTAAAATAGCATACTAAATCTTATAGGGTGTCTCCCTTAATCCGATACTGGCAAGCCAAGTTCAAAAGGGAAAGGGCAAGAGGAAATGGTACATATACGTATGTACCTGGGGAAAACTGAGAGGTTAACTGCAACAGGTGTTGCCTGTCAGTGAAAATTTTCATTATAAATAGCACCATTCTACTAAGAAAGAGACGGGGGGTTGGGGGGGTTGGGGTCAATTCAGTGAAATTGTTTGATTCTTAAATAATCTTCTGTCTAAAGTAACCATATTCGTGTTTATAGTTCAGTCCTTCTGTAAACTGAAAGTACATAAACATTCAGTCGTAAGAACAAAGACAGGAAGGTGCTTTTGATAAGTAAGTTGTTATAAAGTTCTATAAATATTGACAATCTCTTAATAATTCACAACCTCCCTTTCCAAAAGAATTGTATTTTCCTAGTATAATACAAACAATTATTCATGTAGCATAGCTTGTGGGGTAAAACTGGACAAAAAGGCATTTCAGCTTGGCAAATACTAGTATAAATAAAGGAATAATAGAAATTTAAATTACTAAGAGTTATCTCTCTTATCAGAGTATAACTGAACCTTAAGGACATAGGCAACAAACCTCCCCTACATGTACTGATAATTGATAAACACAACTCACTATGTGTGTGTGGTTTTTTTTATCCCTGAGCCTTACTCATTGTTTGTTTTTTGTCCCCTCACCAAAGCTTGGGTATAAAAACACACAAGTTGGATAAAAATCATATAAGGCTTGGGAACAAAAAAGAAATCGTATCCAAACAAAAATCACAGGAGATCCTATAATTATACTATTTCACCTTAAAAATAAAGTACAATATCAGCTTCTGTTCTACACTTTAATGGACATCTTCATACATAAATAAAGCAATCACTAAGACAAAAATAGTATGTCTCCACTATCAATTATCAAACCAACATTGTGATTTGAGACACGGATTTCACAAGATATGCCATTCACACGGGTTTGAAATTTCAATTATGTTTTCCAATGTAAATCCTGAAAGAAAGCTTTGATCATTACTGATTTTCACTTGATAGAAACATTAAACTGCTTGAATTTCTTAAAAAATTACTTTAATACTTGTTCTCATCAAAACAAACACTTTTGGGGTCTTACACTAAGAACTGGATGTGAGCATGCCATATTTGGATGTATTTTACTTTGTAATGGTTCTAATACAAGTGGACTTCATTTTATTATGCTTTAAAAGATGGTAAATATATTGCTATTTTCAAATGTATCAAATAACAAAAAAGTTATTCTTTTCCTTAAAAAAATTTTAAAAAAAATATGATGCATCTGACAAGGGTACATAAATGGATATTGAAACAATTTGACACACAATGAAAAGACAAATTGGCTAATACATAAAGATACCAATACAATGAAACTGGAAGTTGTTTTAAAACTGGCACATAAAAAAACTGTTTTCTTTCCCAGTGTTTTTGTAACAGTTTTATATTTGTGGCAGTAAAATGGGATTGTAAATAAGTTTTCCCACTGAAAACTTCAGTTAAGAAATACTGTGAAATTTGTAAAGTGTTACAGGTTCCTGTCTAATCTTACTCACATTCTGAAAAGTCGTAAATAACTGAATGTATAACAAAACAATAGTTCTTCAAATTGTAGAGAAAATGATAATGCACCAACTGCCTTGAATATCAGTAGTAAAACAGCCATTAAAACATATAAGTTCTGCATCACAAAGGACATCGGGTAATATGATTGAATGGTTTACATTTGCAGATGATCGGATCTGTTGAACTATATAAATACTTGTACACTGTAATAACACACATCATTTACACATTTATACAGGTCTACCAAACACACATGTATCGATATGAATCTTATATAAAGAAACATACACAATATTTATATTGTTATATTTACACTCATGCACCATATAATATATAGACACCAATGGAAGAGCATAGAAGTTTTTCATCTGAATTCAATGTTGATATCAGATGGAATGTTAGTTTTTTTCTCAAAGCAAAGGGAAAAAATGCAGGTTGGAAATATTCCACAAATATCAAAGCAGATGCCTCATTTTAAAGTCAAACATGGCACAATGTGGTCAATATACCATACAGAATGGAATACATGATTTTTTTTATTGCTAGTCTTTTGCACAGTCAGTGCTTAATCTCAGAGGGTTTATATATGGTATGTCCTTTCAATCATTAATTTTAATCAGAAACTAATAAACACAGAACATTTCCCTGTCAACTCAATCTAAGCAAACTTCTCCAGTTTCATATCGAATGTGGAATGGAATGTCATTTCATACAACCTATGTAATCTAGTCTAATTTAAAGTGAGCATTTTTCTCCTTTCTAATAATGTAAATCACTTTTTATTCATGATAACTTTATTATTTCTGTCTATTTAAACAAGACAGTTTGCCCACCAAAATTTATTTGTTTTGCATTAAGACACCATTTAGGTATATTGCAAAAATCATGTGCTGGTAAAATATAGTGATTTACAGTAATTTTAAAAGGGCACACATTGAATAATAGCAATGCTAGAATATATTAAATAAATACTGTTTCTCTTTAAAATATGTGTAACTGAAGTTCAACAGTTTTTTCTCTCTTATAAGGCACTACACCATATAATTATTCAGTATTCCAGGCAATCTCATATTGAATGAAAAGATAATTTACTTGATAATATGATTGCATCCTAAATCACTAATTATAAATCTTGTAATCATTAGCATTCATTATGTAGGTTTGTGAGTGAACTAAATATTTGTAAAGAGGTATGTATCAAGACTAGGGAACCTGCACTAAACATCATCATGCATAAAATATCAAATTAAAAGATTTTGGCACAAATGTAAAAGAACTAACCTAAAACTGGTAAACAAATCAAAGTTTACTAACTACCCCCAAGTAATTATCAGAATTAAAGAGCAATCATTTAAATCATCTCAAAATTTGAAGATACAGATAATTTCACTGGGATAAGTTTACAAATTCATTCAATAAGTCTTTGTTGAGACCAGGTTCCAATTGACATAATTGGTTTTTTTATTAATAACAGAGAGCTGTCATCAACTTCCCACTAATATTTGTTTGAGGTATTGTATGGTTCCAGAATACTTCAGAATGGTCATGTGGTCAATGCCGGGGAACTCTTTGTGGAAGATTGGCTGTTTCTGTTGTTTCTGCCAGTTCAGACACGCTCGTAGACTGCGGACATTTACTGTACCATCTCCGTTGTCATTTATAATCTTCGGCTGCGAATCATACCATGTTGATTTATCATACACCAATGTACCTAAATAATTGGTAAATACATGGTGAAATCATTCTTATTGATTGCTTGACTTCTTTTCATCTTTAAAGGGAAGCTCTGAATGCTAAATACTAAACAGTTCTAATTGTAGAGTAGATTTATGCAGCTTAACTATTGCTGCTGAAGTGGTTTGCCCTAAGATATCATAATTACCGGTATAAGAAATTGAATCCACAGTTAATGACAAAATTTGTAACAAATTAAAGTAATTTTAACATTATATTAATTCACCCAAGATAAAGTAAATGAATTTCTGGTTTAATGGTTCATGATTTGAATTATAAAGAATCTACACTACTTATAAGGGGGCTTTACCTTTAATTTTATTACCGGTAATAATTCAATATCATATTTTTCCTTAAATCGGTGCATACGAGATAAATCTATATGTATTTCCGAAAGAGATATTGTTTCTATTGCCTTTTTACCTGGTGTTTTAACATTGATCCCATGGAGACAGTGAACTTTGACCCCAGGAGGTGTAAGGTCACGGATCAGATTGACTGTGTCCTGCCTCATGTACCATCCATCCATGAAGTTGATGTCAGTAAAGAATTGTTTGTAGTCCTTCACGGTGTAGTTCCTCTCTGGCTGCATCACCAGAATCTCGTCTGGACCCCAGGCTTTGTCAGAAGGCATCAACCAGGCACTACTGGGCATGCTCCGTTGTTCTGTGCGAACCTTGATAGGCTTAACAAAGTATACACCTAGACTATCACCTGTGAAAATTATAATCGATCTAATTGCAGATATGTAATATACAATAAAAGGCTATCATAACTTTGGTAAGCAGTGTAATTTAGATGATTTCTAGGGTTTGTGACTTTTTTGGAAGAGGGGAGCAGAGAAAAAGGTTCAACTCTTCATTCAACAAACCTGAAGCAAACAGCCTGAGAGGTTTGACGGCCCCAGTCCACACCCCGGCCAGACTGACGTGGGCCTCAATGTACTTGTCTTTCCATGCCTGGGTCATTATGTTGTAGAAGTAGAGGGAGGTGGGGTTCCCCATGCTGTGCCCCAGGAGGATCACACGGGTGTTGTTGTTTATCCTGTAAGTCTCCTCAATCAGGGCCTTCATCTTCTGATACAGCTCTTTAAATTCATCTACAAACAATAGTAACATTCAAATTACTGTATTCAGGGTTATTTTTGCCCCCCTTTGTTTTTGCCCCTTCACACCTGCAAACACTTTTGCCCCATCTTATTTGCCCAGACAAATTCTGTTTAAGAAATACTGTATTCTTTATAATTGCCCCAATTTAAATTTGCCCAACCAAAAGTATGGCGAAACGGTCGAAAATTTCCCTGTATACAGTATCATACTGAATGCACATGTTTTGTAATTTTCACAAAGAATTTATCCTTAAACAATGGCTAACATGAAAACATTTTCTTTTATAAAAAGGAGATCCATACTTGGTGCTTTCCTGAAGTCAAAAGGGACTCCCCTAACTGATACGCCTCTCTTGTAACCCCAGGTCACCATGGCTTCCACAATAGGTGCAAAGTACGAAGCTGAAAACAAATCAAAATGTGCAAGTGACTCATCTGATAGTAAGGTTGTAACAATATTCTGATATACTACTATAATAACAAATACAAAATATATACTGTATGGCTGTACAAAAAATGTTTACCTGTGTATCAAGTATACATTTTAACCAATTTATGTTTTTAATTTTTAGTTGAACCTAATAAAACTGATTTTCTTGATTTTCTTTTTTGTTTTTATTGTGTTTATACATGTAGGTAATTAAATAATACAATATGTAATTGTGAAGTTGATGCAATGATCCTTCTGTAGATTTAAAACCAGGATAGCAAATTTGAACAATTATTAATCAGGAAATTGTACAGGATGTTCATGACAGTTCATTCTACTTTAAAAGTAAGGATACCTCAATTAAAGAGCTATAAATAGCCAGCAAAATATACATGGATTATCATGATTAAATTGAACTGAAGAGACTATTCATTAAATGAACATAACTGACAAACAAAACCCTCTGAGGTTACATCAAATGCAGCCCTTTATTCAAACTCTATGATGCACAGGTGGATAGCTAATTATTGAGAGAGAGGTGGGATGGGTCCTTACTCCTTATTACTTAATTAGAGACAGGTGGGAGGGGTCCTTACTACTTACTAAGAGACAGGTGGGAGGGGTCCTGACTTCTTACTGAGAGACAGGTGAGAGGGGTCCTTACTACTAACTCAGAGACAGGTGGGAGGTGTCCTTACTACTTACTAAGAGACAGGTGGGATGGGTCCTGACTTCTTAATGAGAGACAGGTGAGAGGGGTCCTTACTACTTACTCAGAGACAGGTGAGAGGGGTCCTTACTGCTTACTCAGAGACAGGTGGGAGGGGTCCTTACTGCTTACTAAGAGACAGGTGGGAGGGGTCCTGACTTCTTACTGAAAGACAGGTGAGAGGGGTCCTTACTACTTACTCAGAGACAGGTGGGAGGGATTCTTACTATTTACTAAGAGACAGGTGGGAGTGGTCCTTACTACTAACTGAGAGACATGTGGGAGGGGTCCTTACTACTAACTGAGAGACAATTGGGAGGGGTCCTTACTACTTACTGAGAGACAGGTGGGAGGGGTCCTGACTTCTTACTGAGAGACAGGTGGAAGGGGTCTTTACTACTTACTGAGAGACAGGTGGGAGGGGTCCTTACTACATACTGAGAGACAGGTGGGAGGGGACCTTACTACTAACTGAGAGACACGTGGGATGGGTTCTTACTACTAACTGAGAGACAGGTGGGAGGGATCCTTACTATTTACTAAGAGATAGGTGGGAGGGGACCTTACTACTTACTGAGAGACAGGTGGGAGGGGTCCTTACTACTAACTGAGAGACAGGTGGGAGGGGTCCTTACTACATACTGAGAGACAGGTAGGAGGGGTCCTTACTACTTACTGAGAGACAGGTGGGAGGGGTCCTTACTACTTACTGAGAGACAGGTGGGGGGGGGGGGGGGGGGGAGAGAGAGAGAGAGAGAGAGAGAGAGAGAGAGAGAGAGAGAGAGAGAGAGAGAGAGAGAGAGAGAGAGAGAGAGAGAGAGAGAGAGAGAGAGAGAGAGAGAGAGAGAGAGAGAGAGAGAGAGAGAGAGAGAGAGAGAGAGAGACAGGTCCTGACTTCTTCCTGAGAGACAAGTGGGAGGGGTCCTTACTACTTACTGAGAGACAGGTGGGAGGGGTCCTTTCTATGTACTGAGAGACAGGTAGGAGGGGTCCTTACTACTTACTGAGAGACAGGTGGGATGGGACCTTACTACATACCAGAGATTGAGGGGACCTTAAAGTAACTGAGAGACACGTGATGTCCACCCCTGAGAGACAGGTGGGAGGGATCCTTACTATTTGTGTGGGTTGTTCTACTTGTAAGAGACAGGTGGGAGGGGACCTTAACTTACTGAGAGACAGGTGGGATGCATCAAGAGACAGGTTAGGGGTCCTTACTACATACTGAGAGACAGGTAAGATATGAGACAGGTGGGAGGGGTCCTGTTACTTACTGAGAGACAGGTGGGAGAGGTCCTTTCTACGTACTGAGAGACAGGTGGGATGGGTCCTTACTACTTACTTAGAGATACGTGGGAGGGGACCTTACTACTAACTGAGAGACAGGTGGGAGGGGTCCTTACTACATACTGCTACATACTGAGAGACAGGTGGGAGGGGACCTTACTACTAACTGAGAGACAAGTGGGAGGGGTCCTTACTACTAACTGAGAGACAGGTGGGAGGGGTCCTTACTATTTACTAAAGAATAGGTGGGAGGGGTCCTTACTACTAACTGAGAGACAGGTGGGAGGGGTCCTTACTACTTACTGAGAGACAGGTGGGAGGGGTCCTTACTACTTACTGAGAGACAGGTGGGAGGGGTCCTTTCTACGTACTGAGAGACAGGTGGGAGGGGTCCTTACTCCTTATTAAGAGATAGGTGGGAGGGGTCCTTACTACTTACTCAGAGACAGGTGGGAGGGGTCCTTACTACTGAATGAGAGACAAGTGGGAGGGGTCCTTACTACTTATTGAGAGACAAGTGGGAGGGGTCCTTACTACTTACTAAGAGACAGGTGGGAGGGGTCCTGACTACATACTGAGAGACAGATGGGAGGAGTCCTTACTACTGAATGAGAGATAGGTGGGAGGGGTCTTTACTACTGAATGAGAGACAGGTGGGAGGGGTCCTTACTACATACTGAGATATAGGCGGGAGGGGTCCTTACTACATACTGAGAGATAGGTGGGAGGGGTCCTTACTACATACTGAGAGACAGGTGGGAGGGGTTCTTACTACTTAGTTACTGAGAGACAGGTGGGAGGGGTCCTTTCTACATACTGAGAGACAGGTGGGAGGGGCCCTGATTACTTACTGAGAGACAAGTGGGAGGGGTCCAGCCATTCCACAGTAGATGTCCCCCCAAAGTCACTGATCCTGATGTCCACCCCTGGAGTGTTACTGGTTATGTGGGTTGTTCGATTGTAAACCAACCTAAAATACAATGCATCAGTGCCAAGTTAGGTCATGCATGGCAAAGATATGAACATAATTGTTACTGTTATATCACTAGAGGAAATGATTCTCACATACTGGGACCAGATAAAAGAAATTTTTGAGAAGACATAAAAAATAAGTTAAGCTTTATTCTGTTAGTGAACATTTTTTTTTAAAGATAAAAGATTTAAACATGGAACACAAACTGATTCAGACTCCAAATTTCTTATATGAAAGGCAACTGTTTCTTTTTTCACTAATGCATGGTACATTCATATCTTTTGAGAGCAACATTTTAACAAAAGGAAACACAAACTGTATGCATACCAGAAGTCTCTGTCGAGACTGAAGCTCTACTGGTTTGAACTTATAGCAAAGGAAGAGAAAAGTACTTAAGCAGCTGGGATTTGAAACTTTACAACAGCAATAAATAGAATAATGATCGTAATAAAGTCTCTTTATGTTCTTAGTGTGTTTTGTGTGCCAAGTTATACTGAAATCAGACCAAAACTGTAGGAGGAGTAGCATTTTGAAAGAATTTCACAGAAATTTCTATTTTTAGTATAAAACCGTTCATCGAAATCAAAGCGATACACAGAATTATGTATCTTAGTGTATTCTACTTGTGTGCTAAGTAATACTGAAATCAGACCAAAACTGTAGGAGGAGTAGCATTTTGAAAGAATTTCACAGAAATTTCTATTTTTAGTAACCACGGCAACAAAAAAAAAACCGATATACAGAATTATGTATCTTATATTATATCTGCCAAGTATTAAAAATCAGACCAAAACTGTAGGAGGAGTAGCATTTTGAAAATTTTAAATATTCTATTTTTAGTATGCAAGCAACACCGTTCATCAAAATCAAAAACCGATACACAGATTATGTATCTTAGTGTATCTATTGTGTGCCAAGTTAACTGAAATCAGACCAAAACTGATAGCATTTTGAAAGAATTTCACAGAAATTTCTATTTTTAGTAACCAAGCAACACCATTCATTGAAATCAAAAACCGATATACAGAATGTATCTTAGTTCATTGTGTGCCAAGTTATAAAATCAGACCAAAACTGTAGGAGGAGTAGCATTTTGAAAGAATTTCACAGAAATTTCTATTTTTAGTAACCACGGCAACACCGTTCATCAAAATCAAAAACCGATACACAGAATTATGTATCTTATATATTGTGTGCCAAGTTATACTGAAATCAGGTTAAAACTGTAGAAGGAGTAGCGTTTTAAAGGAATTTCACAGAAAATTCTATTTTTAGTTACCACAGCAACACCGTTCATTGAAATCAATACACAGAATTATGTATCTTAGTGTATTCTACTTGTGTGCCAAGTTATTGAAATCAGACCAAAACTGTAGGAGTATTGCTGTGGTTTTGTAGCATTTTGAAAGAATTTCACAGAAATTTCATTTTTAGTAACCACCGCAACACCGTTCTCGAAATCAAAAACCGTAGACAGAATGTATCTTATTGTAGTCTACTTGTATGCCAAGTTATATTGAAATTAGACCAAAACTGTAGGAGGAGTAGCATTTTGAAAGAATTTCACAGAAATTTCTATTTTTAGTAACCACCGCAACACCGTTCATCGAAATCAAAAACTGATATACAGAATTATGTTCTTATTGCTACTTGTGTGCCAATATATTGAAATTAGTACAAACTGTTTCATTTTCAAAATTTCAACATGATTATCACTACATGGCTCAGCCAGTAGAGCTAATAAAATGAACATCAATTAACAAAGTAATACACTAACATTACATGCTCATTAAGGTAAGAAAGTAATTAGTTTGTGTGTTTATGCATAAATTAAAGTGCTGCATGGAATTGTTTGGTTTTCTCAAGTGAAGTTTTTTATTGAATCTGGAACAATAAAGGAGACTAGAAAACTTCTATGCACTAAAATGTTGTTTTAAGAAACAGTGAAATCTTGTTATCTTGAACTCTATAGGAAAGAAAAAAAACTTTGCGATATCTGTGTCACTGTGTATTTGAGATATCAGTGGTAAACTAGTTAAGGACATCTAAATCACTTCAAAATATTTATGGGAGCTATTCAAGCTATCAGTATTCAAGATTCATTTATTCATTCTTTTGAATCTGATTCTTTTAAAAAATACCCCACAGTGATACACTGAATTTTTCTCAACAGGTTAAGTTCTATGGTTTTTTGTTAAGGTGATTTAAACAATAAAATGCTTTCTTTGTTTGTTATTACTGAATGAACAGAAGCAGCTGTTGCAGAAAAAATACATAACCCGTGTAAGCGGGTTATGTAAATTTTTTCTGCAATAGCTGCGACCGTTCATTCCAGTAATAAAAAACAAAGAAAGCATTTTATTGTTTATATTTATACCTGTTTAAATAATTATTTAAAGTAGGATTAAAAAGATAAATTATTTTATTAATGATGCAAACGTCTTTATACATTTCATTGACATAGCCACTGATAAGAAATTGTATGTCTATTCATGCAGTTAAAGGCAATGGGTTTTCTATCCCAGAAAATATTCAAAGGAATTACTTAATTGTCAGTGAAGCAGTCAAGGCTGTTTAACCACAGAAAATAATAAACACAGGGCATTTTGGTGCTGTTATTTATGTTCAAACTGTTGCTCCATCTCCAAATAAAAACAGAAAAAATATACTCCAGTTTTATGCTGTGTCAATACATGGTTGTACACACTGTTTCATATCAAAATTTCAACATGATTATCTTTGTCAGACCAAATGTCTGAGCAGTGATTAAAAAATTTACACCCAACAGAGCTTAAAGAATACCAAATTTTTTTATGCATACTAATACTAATACCAGTGTTTGAAATAACTGTGCACCCGCGACACACAAATTTTGTCACAGGGGAACAGATTTGCATGTATTGACACCCACTGGATGTGTAAAAATTTTCCATAAATTTAAATTCAGATATTTGATAAACTCTCTCAAATCAACTAATATTACTTGCTGCAAAGTGTAACAAGCTAACGGGTAAAATTCATCAGCCTATAGATCCAGGATCAAATATATACTGAGCTGGCCCCATTCACATAATTGCTAAAACAATCTTAGAAAAGATTTTTTTCGGGCTAGTACATTTTTGGCAGGGTGCACAACTTTCACTAGCAATCAGCCCTGCATGTATAGCTAATTTTACAATGAGTTTCAAACACTGCTTTAATATACCATGTATACTGAAGTACAATGTGCAATTACTTTTCTTCTTTTAAACGTGAAGTTTGACTATCACACCTAATTCTATTTTTATTGCCAGGGACCTATATAATAAGTTTATACAACTCTGAAGGTCTCAATTTTTTAACACAATACTTTACGTCTTTAGTATATTTAGATTTTACTAACTCTTTATCATCATTTTACTCTTTTAAATAATAATTTTTTCCTCTTGTTCAACTACTCTTAGTTAGAATAATCTAACTGTGTCTCGGTACAAGCCCTCACCACAGTTAGAATACGTCCCATATACTTGCAATGTAGCAAATCGGAGCGGATCCGCTCCGAAACGATTTTGAAGAATATAAAATGATTTGCACTGGGAATTTAATTAAAACAAACCTTTTTGAGATTGCTTATGCCTTTTATCCCAAATAATAATCCATATAAATAAGAAAATCCATTTCATTTTCTCAACGTTTTTCTCTCGATTCAAATTACCTCCATGTTTACATTCGGAACTCTCTAGATTGTTCCTAGTAAATGCACTATGCGAGTTATCGCCCGTGTTTCTTTTGCTACATTACGAATACACGGAACGAATTCTATCGTTAAACCGGGTCCGTAGGACAATATCATTTTAACGATAGAACATTCTATCTAAACTACTCTAAGCAATACTGTAAGATAAAACCATTTCAGGTCTAGTATTCTACCTTTATATTAATAATATTGTTGTTTATCTATAGACATTGGGTCGCTAAGTAGGACGATCACTAAACAACAGAGGAAATTCGGGGAAATTCGTGATCAATGGACTGGAGAAAAATGTATCAGATGCGTAGACAAAGTAATTGTCTCAATTTTCTGTATGATAAAAAGGGGAATCATGTTCCTTTTTAACATCAGAATATCAATATTATAATATGTCAATCTCTTACAACTTAAAACATGTGACATTTACATTACATAACACATCAATCATATTCAAGTATTATGAGATCTGCTCGTTTTCTTTTGTCAAAAAATCACCTTACCTAAAATTACAGGATTCAAAATTTTACTTTGGGCATTACAATACAGCAAAAGTTTGAATATCAATATTCCCAAAACACGAGTTACTGTTGACATCTTCTTATCGTTCGACACACATATGGTGTCATGTGACACTGTAACTGTAAAATTCGAATCAGAATGGACATTTTTCCCGGAATATTTATTTTTTCAAAATACGCCTAAAAATTGCTCCCTCCCCCTAAAGCTCTCCATTATATTGCAAACTTTGGCAATCACATGACATAAAAGAAAAGTTAGCATAGTCACTTTCGTATGGATCATAGCAGAAGCGGGAGGAGAAAGGGGGAGGGGGGGCACGGGACCACCCGTCCCCTCTGAATTCCAAACATAACATTTTACTATTTACTGATGTATAAAGTATATAGGTTCCTGTTTGAATGTTATACATGACATCGATAATTTTCTCCATGAGCTATTTGAGTAATATATATCTTGTTGCTTTCGTCAAATAGCCTTAATTTAATTTTTTTTTCTCCAAACCCCTTAAGTAAAGAACTTTGTAACACTGACGATAATTAAAGAATTCTAAACTAAAATGCCTACATGTAGTTCTCTTTCTTATAAAGTCAAAATTGTATTTACAATCTAATACACATGTAAATCATTTCAAAAACCTGGTTCATCTTGATTACACTTTTGAAAATTCTTTTGCATGAAAACTTTCTATAACTTAGGCAATTTTACATCAAAAGCAAATAATTTAATCATTGAGGCATACCTTTTGAACAGGTACTTAAAACAAATTG